CCCTACTGCCCTACAAGCCGGCATTCAGCGTTCACTATATATTTCACGTCTAACCTTACAACCTAATTCTCTTCCCCTGCCCAGTGTGTCCCCAGCTAAGCCTAAACCAAGTACCCTCTCCTGTCCTCTCAGACCCATCGTGACCAGCTCAAGCGGCCCCTGGCCACGAAGAGCCTCGCTCTCCCGCAGCTCTCCTCATCCACCCACGTGGAGGTACAGATGGCGGTCCACTAACTTTCTGTGCCATGGTGACGTCTGTCAGCCGGTCTGAAAACTCCCAAGGGGCTGTGCCCACCACTTCTCCCCGAGCCCCCAGCCCCGAGGCCAGCACCCGAAACCAGCATGAGATTCAGGCCTGCCTGAGCCTGGGAAGCCGGGAGCAGAGACAGCTGCATCTGGCTGCGGCGCAGGGAGCTCCAGCCGCAGATGAGCCGGCGGGAGGCCCTGAAGGGCAGCTGCTGCCGGCTCAGGCCACATGCACGCTGGGGCCGTGGGCCCCGACAGCCAGGGCTCTGCATTCCTCAAGAAAAGCTGGAAGCCTCCATTTTTATGGGAAATCTTTTGACTTCTCAATGTTGGCAACAAATTCAAAACAAAGGAAAAGAGCACTGCTCGGGCCACAGCTGGCGCCGGGTCCACTACTGTGCCCTGTGCGGCTCCAGCCTGGAGAACGCTGTGCTTAACACGGGGTGGGAGCGGCACAGGTGAAAAGAAATCATCCTGGAATTCCGAGGACCGGAGGGAGCTATCCCAGGAGACTTCCTGGAGGAGGGACTGCAGGGGCCTCAGGGGTTTCTGGGCCAGGGTTCTGGCTGGGGCTGTTGGCCGAGTCCTGAGCCGAGAGCCCGCACCCTAACAAGCTTCCTGGGCGGGAGAGAGGGCAGGCTGGGCACACCTGGTCTATCTTCACCGCCGTGGTGCTGGCATCCGTGGGCAGATTAGACCGTTCCAGGTAAAAGGCCCTGCGAGAGAAAGATGGGGCTAAGGGTGGGACCCCTGTGCCTCCCCTCCTCCCCGCCCTCCCTCGCCTGGGTGACAACTGCACCACGGCTCCGGCCTCCGCTCTGCCCCTCCCCCTCGGACTCAGAAATAAATCCCTAAGAATGCCCTGAGGCTGCCCACGCCCACAGGAGCCCGTTCCTCCAATAGCCCCCCTCCCCAAGCAAGAAGGGGCCTCCCAGGCACTCAGATGTCCCCTGCCCCTAACTGCCAACCAGAGCAGCTCCACCCCCTCCCCCCAATCATCCTGCCTCAGTTCTCTTCTGAGTGCCTTGCGTGGTCTGTGTTTACTGGTTTGATGTTCGCCTCCCCTTCTAGAAACAGGTTCGACAAACTTTTTCTATAAAGGGCCAAACAGTAAATATCTTAGGCTTTGTGAACTGGAGTGTCTCTATGGCAACACTGTTCAACTCTGCTGTCACAGCACAAAAGCAGCCACAGATGACACCTAAGCGTGGCTGCGTGCGAGTACAACTTTATTTAGAAAACAGGGGAGGGCCAGTGTTGACAAGCCCTGCTCCGGACACACGGCCCGGAAGAACAGGACTTTGGTCTGCTGCGCCCCAGCACACGCCAAGAGCAGGGCCTGGTCCACAGGCCCTGGTCTCAATTAACACGTGCTGAATGAACGCAGGGATGAGTGAATGATCACAGAGGCAATACTTAAAATAGTCTGCATATGGCACAGAAGAGATGGAAAGCACTGACCAAGCCAAACAGATGCCATTTTTCAAATAACTGGACTGGATGTTTTCTCTGGCAAATGAGTGACAGCATCTCTCTCCCATT